AAAGTTCCCTCTATTCCCTGTTGAGTAAGCATTTGGACCACAGATGGTATTGATTTTTATAAAATGCTTCTCCATCCTTTAAATTATCCTGTGATTTATGTTCTTTAATCTTCTGTAATGTGCTAACTCATGTTAATGTATCTTCTAAATGCTAAACCTAACTAAGATTCGTGAGTGAAGTCCAACAGGCTCATGATTTAAATCATGCTTTCAATATCTTGCTGGATTCATGTTGCTAACATTTTGTTTAGACTTTTACATTTATGTTCAAAAATGAGGGGCCAGGTGTGATGGCTCACGACTATACTCCTAGCACTCTGGTAGACCAAGGTAGGTGGATTGCTTGAGCTCACGAGTTCAAGACCAACCTGAACAAAAAGCAAGACCCCATCTTTACTAAAAATAGAAAAACTGAGGCAAGAGGATTGCTTGAGCGCAAGTGCGAAGTTGCTGTGAGCTATGATGCCACAACACTCTACCCAGGGTGATAGTTTGAGACTCTGTCACACACACAAAAAAAGAAAATAAAAGAAATGAGATTGACTTCTTTTGGGTTTTTAGTATGTTTGTTTTTTGGGACAGAGTCTCACTTTGTCACTCTCACTGGAGTGCAGTGCTGTCATAGCTCACAGCAACCTCAAACTCTTGGGCTCAAGCGATTCTCTTGCCTCAGGCTCCCAAGTAGCTGGGACTATAAGTGCCCGCCATAACACCTGGCTATTTTTAGAGACCAGGTCTCGTTCTGGCTCCGGCTGGTCTCAAACCTGTGAGCTCAAACAATCCACCCTCCTTGGCCTCCCAGAGTGCTGGGATTACAGGTACAAGCCACTGCACCCTGCCTGAGATTGACTTTTAACTTCTCTTTCTCATGGTGAGGTTTTGGCATCATGAAATAAGTTTGCGTGCAATCTTTTTTCTGTTCTCAGGAAAACTTGATATAAGATTGGATTATGTTCCTTGAAAGGTTGATCAAAACCATCTGTAATGCCATCTGGGCCTTCAGTTTGGGTTTTTGAGTCTTTTTTTTTTTTTTTTTTGATTGAAGTTTGGCTAGGGTCGGGTTTGAATCCACCACCCTTGATACATGGGGCCAGTATGTGTCACTGAACCACAGTGACACATTGAGTCTTTTAAGGAAAGATTTTTGACTTACTGATTTAGTTTCTTTAGTGGTTTCTTTTAGATTTTCTGGGTTTGGGGTGTTTTTTTCTTTTTTTTTTTTTTTGGATTTTGCTCAATTTTTCTAGAAATTTTTCCATTTCATCTAAATTTTCTCTTATTTCTTTCTTTCTTTTTTTTTTTCTCTTTGAGACAGAGTCTCACTCTGTTGCCCAGGCTAGAATGCTGTACTAGCTCACAGCAACCTCAAACTCCTGGGTTCAAGTGATCCTCCTGCCTCAGCCTCCTGTGTAGGTGGGACTATAGGCACCTGCCACAACACCTGGTTGATTTTTCTGTTTTTAGGAGAGACAGGGTCTTGGTCTTGCTCAGGTTGACCCCAGACTACCAAGCTCAAATAATCCTCCTGCCTCAGCCTAGACTGCTAGGATTACAGGCATGAGCTGCTGTGCCAAGGCTCAATTTAGTTATGCGTGAGTCAGGATTATAAAGGTGCCCATCACCCAGATAGCATTCATTTACCCATTAAGTAGGTTTTTGCCCATCCCTTCCTCCCTACTTCCCATTGGGCTCTCTTCTTATTCAAAGTATGTTGCTTAATTTCAGTGTGTGACACATCTTGTACCCTCAATGAATCCCCAATTTAAAGAAGAAATTCCAAACATAAAGGGAAATCTTTACATTCTAGTTTGTATTTTATACTGAGTTTTGCCTGTTTGTTTCTGTTTTTGTTTTTTTGTAGAGACAGAATCTCATTTTATCACCCTCCGTAGAGTGCCGTGCAGTCACACAGCTCACAACAACCTCCAACTACTAGGCTTAGGTGATGCTCTTGGCTCAGCCTCTCAAGTAGCTGAGACCACAGGTGCCCGCCACAACGCCAGGCTATTTTTTTTGTTGCAGTTTGGCTGGGGCCGGGTTTGAACCCCCCACCCTTGGTATATGGGGCCAGCACCCTACCCACTGAGCCACAGGCACTGCCCTATACTGAGTTTTACATTAATGACATTGTGATATGATGCTGTATATGATTTCAGCCCTTTCACATGTATGAAAGTTAGTAATAACAAAGTGGTCATCATGCATTTTGTAGTTTGCCTTTAATGTTGGAACATACTGCTTTCGGTTTTATTTTTTTTTTTTTTTTTTTTTGAGACAGAGCCTCAAGCTGTCCCCCTGGG